TTTTTGCGATACCAAATTATCATGGAGGTTTGGATAAATAAAGAAATAAACACTAGGTGGACTCAGTCACTGCACTTTAGTGTTCACTATGGATAATTATTTGTAAATTTTATTGTTTGTATTGTAAACTTTTACAAATTCAATATTTTATGACATTTGTAAAGATATTTGTAGCACTCTAGAGCAATTTTCATTTCTACAAAATTGTGATTTTCACTTCAACAAAATTGTGATTTTCACAAGATGAAAAAAATGTTGTCTCTCATAAAGTTAAAACAGTTCACAGTAAATTTGAGATGAGTTTCATTTTGGGTAATGCTGTAATAGTATTTTCTTGTCATTGACAGGTGAGCAAGCTATCCAAAGACTGTTATCATGTGAAGGGAAGAGTCCTTATAATGTACTTGGTGTATCCAAGAATGCATCAGATGAAGATATCAAGAAATATTATAGAAAACAAGCAGTATTGGTCCATCCGGATAAGGTGTGTTTCTGTTTGTATCTTCTAAGCCACGACAACACACACAAAAATGAATATCAAATAAGTTACTTGTATCAATATCAAACCAAATATAAGGTTTAATTACTCCTCTTTTGTACTACCGTTAAAATCCTAATATAAACCACGGTTTATATTACAATGTATCAAATAAAAAATTTGGATCAACAGCTCAAGTTCGGGGTGCGGTTTCTATTGCGTACATATTGCAATCACAAAATGGGCGTGGTCATTTTTTCCCCACATCACTTGCACAAAACAAACAATACACCGTACAATCTTTCGAATATAAGCGTAACACCAATTTAGATGTCAGGAAAGAGCGATAAGCGTCACGTCACACAAAAACTGTTCACATGAAAAAAAATAAAAGTATATTTAATGTAATATGGATTTATTTTTTTAATTTTCTTCGTAACGGAAAGTATATTCTGACAGGAGCTTCAAATAAAAACAAACATTAATGCATTGCTTAGTAGAAAATGATCATGGTACGGAATTTGCATAAAAACTGCGGTTCGAACCGATCTCATTCACACCTCATTCAAGCTGTTGTTTATTTTTAGGATTGACAGAGTTTACATTGCTTTTTGAAGACGAGATAGTTGTCTCTAAAATGTGTCGATTTATTGGTGTACAGTAGTCATTTTACCATGTGCCTTGCCTAAAAAAACACACTTTTATATATCGGTGAACAGCGTGCTGAATAAATTGTTTTGTTTTGATAAACTGTTATGCTCCAGTTGCAAATTGAGCAGAGGACGTGAATCAGACTTTTCATTGGGCTGGACAATTGATATGTGTCTCTGACAGCTAATAAGTATCAAAAGACGAACATTTGTTGATACAAAGTTGCACTTGAGACTTATGCTACTGTGTTCAAGCCTTTACTACTGTTGCGCGTTCAATTTTCTAACAGTTCTTTCTGGAGTGCGGCATCGCAAAATCTGGAAAAACAAATGCAGCGTACGCCATGAAAATTTATTTCGATTTGCTGCACATCGGTTATTTGCAGTTTTTCTTATTCAATTTCCAGTGACACGAAGTATCAAAACAGAAAATTAAATTAAATGGACTCGCGCTGATTATTTACGGCTATTCATCTGTAGACGAGACTGCTTATAAAAAAACCGAACCCTGACCTCTGAAAATACCTTATTCATAGAATGCCTTGTACCGAAAGACCGTCGCCCAAGGTAACACAGTGCACGTTGTGATATAGCAATCGATGCATGCTAGGTGACAGGGGGAAATTCTGATTGAGGTAACCAAGATGGCTGCGTTGAGTGCCTGATTTTCTACGGTGTTTAAAACAATACCGTACTTATCCGGCTAAGAGCCCATGCCTGGACAAACACCCACCCCCCTCCCTTTTGACACAATAAAGAAGTTGAGGTCATATCGGGGCACACGCCCAGGGGGGCTTTTTCTACACAAAACAAAAAAACTATTTTCTATTCGTTAACTGTTGACTTTCTTGAAGTCTGTCGTGATACTTATAAAAATTGTTAATTGCGTAAAACTAAGGGTGAACGCAAAATAGCTGTGACAGCTTTCAGGGCAGCGCGTTCACCACTGATTTTTTTTTTCAGAATCTGATCATAACAGTCAGCAAGTCTATAAAAATAAATATTAAAGCAGAAACGGTAGTTCTCTTTTTAGCTCCGCTGTCGACTTTGTCGAGCGGAGCTTATCATATGAGTGATTGTCCGTCGTCGTCCGTGTTAATGTTTTACTTTTTCGACTTCTTCTTGAAAACTACAAGCCTGAATGCTTTGATACTTGGTGTATATGTACCTTGGGTGGACCTCTCTTAGGTTTGTTCATTTCATGATCATATCTTCAATTCTCTAATTTTGGTGAATATTTTTGTAATTTTTGGTAAAAAGTGATATTTTCGACTTCTTGTTAAAAACCGCAAGTGCAATTGCTTTGATATTACATATATAGGTACTACATGTGGACCTCTCTCAGATTTGTTCATTTTGTAATGATATCTTCAATTCTCTAATTTTGGTGAATATTTTTGTCATTTTTGGTAAAAAGTGATATTTTCGACTTTTTGTTAAAAACCGCAATTGCTTTGATATTACATATATAGGTACTACATGTGAACCTCTCTCAGATTTGTTCATTTCGTGATGATATCTTCAATTCTCTAATTTTGGTGAATATTTTTGTCATTTTTGGTAAAAAGTGATATTTTCGACTTCTTGTTAAAAACCGCAAGTCCGATTGCTTTGATATTACATATATAGGTACTACATGTGGACCTCTCTCAGATTTGTTCATTTTGTGATGATATCTTCAATTCTCTAATTTCGGTGAATATTTTTGTAATTTTTGGTAAAAAGTGATATTTTCGACTTCTTGTTAAAAACCAATAGTTCAATTGCTTTGATATTACATATATAGATACTACATGTAGACCTTTCTCAGATTTGCTCATTTTGTGATGATATCTTCAGTTCTCTAATTTTGGTAAATATTTTTGGTAAAAAGTGATATTTTCGACTTCTTGTTAAAAACTGCAAGTCCGATTGCTTTGATACTATTCATATTGTTCATTTTCTAATGATGTCTTCAGCTCATTAATTGAAATGTGCATTGCTAACAGCGGAGCTATCTCAGCCGATAGGCTGCTTGTTGAAATATGTCGTGGCTCTAAAAAGGGCCGGTCGTTTGGTTTGTGCTTCCTCAGAAACGATTCAAGCAAATCGTATAAGGAGAGCCGCTAAGCAAGTGTCGCACTCGTTCGGCTTTAGCGTCGTCGACAATGAAAACAATGTTGCAATATTGTAGCAACCCGTACCAGGGAGAAAGGTTGAAATCACGTTATTTTGGCTTTATGTGTATCACCACTTTTATCACCGCTATTGCATTTCTGTCATGAAAACTATTCTTCTGTCGTTGGAAAAAAAAAAAAAAAAACTTCCTATTTCAAGTCCGCCGCGATATCCATATAGTGAGACATTCCAACCGCCGGAACTTGCTGAATGATAACTTTCACCGTGATTAATAAGCGTTGAGTCTGATAAGAAAGCAATGTCACGATTTGACCTTTATGATGAAATACCGTACTAGTAGTGATGTCATTCTTAGCCAATCGGTAAAGCAGATGCATAAAGGTCAAAGATGATTGCTAGACTGTAAACAAAAGCATCGTGCAAGTCGTTTGCCGCGGCCCAATTTTTCTTGTCTCTTTATTCTGATTAGACGTGAATTAAAAGTGCCAAGCTGACAGACTGCGAAATTCGTGGATTAAAAGTCCAAATTGTGTGGGACGATATCGACGAACTATAGGAATAAGTTGTAGGGATTTTGTTCGACGGCTACAGTTACGCCGACTTGGACTTTGAGGGTTTTGAGTTTGACGAAGATGGCAATGAACGTACAAATAAAGATCTGAGAAGTTTTTTCAAACAGCTATGAATTTTTATAATTTTTACTGTGTAAATTTGTAAATTATTATTGATCTTGTATGACGGTTGATTCGTAATTTGTCGAGACCGGAAATCATTTTACGCAGTTTAACCCCTGACATTTTAATTCATTTTGAGTTCACGCGTATTCAAGTTGAGCGTGTTTGTCGGCGGGAAAATCCTAATTCAAACCATTCTTCATTTGTTTATTATTTCTGGTTTATTTGCCACATTATAAGCAATAAATTATTTTTGTTTTACTTCTAAGGTTGCATATTGTTCATTTATTTCCGTTGCATGTTTTCATTTGCCGTTCTATTCCCTGTCGCAGTTCGATCTGCGTGTTGTCAATTTTCGTGAATTTTCGTTTTTTTTGCCGGGGATCTCCTGGCAAACAAACGCCCACCCTTTCTTTTTGGCAATTTTCCATGTTCAAGACCCTGGGCTTATACCCAGATAAATACGGTACCTCGCTGCCTACTTCGCCCACAGTCCCTCAAGGCACTGTGCTTTGATGTATTTTCTAAAATAATCGTTTATTTTTAATTAACCGGGGGTTCGAAATGTGTGCATTTTGTCACAGAAAAGTAAGATATTGGCAGCGGTAAATACCTGTAATTTCCCTGCAATGCTGTCAGCTGACAATGTTACGGTGGTAACCAGGCTGAAACAGTATTGTAAGAAAAACCTAGGTTTCCCTAGGTCTGTCTTCTTTGTTCTCTGTTGTTTGTTTTCAGTGGGGGCGTTAATGGGCAGTTAATCCGGAGGTTAGGTTCAAACCTACTACTAATTTGCATATTGTAGGTCTAGTAGGTCTGAATAGGGCAGGCTGGGTTTACCCAGGTTAACCCAGGTTTGACCCACGTGTTTGAATATGAGATCACCCCTTAGTCATTTAAATATGTTAAAACAGGTCACCGACTTCATGGTGAACGAAACACGGAAGTGATTTACCGATAATGTAGTGCGATCTTTTGGCTTTCATTTCCATGAGAAAACGACATGATTTTTTTTTTTAAATCAAGAAATTAGTTGTTTTCGAAAGATAAACTGAGCATTGAAAAAGAATTTAACAGTTTTTCGGTGATAACAGCTCATTGTCGAAAACTTGCGACACACGGACGTATTCATAAGGAGTATTGACAAAAGTCGCAAGAACAAAAGCAGTTTCACTGCGTGTTTGACATCCTAACACTACTGAATAATAAAGAGGTGTGAATAGTTTTAGGCACGTTGTCGAAACAAATGAATAGGATTAGGAACAATGTACCAGCTGGTTGTCACGGGCACTGTCTTGTTGAATTGGGAATGCGGTTAGTAATAGGTACTTTTCATGTTTTCAATTTTTGTTGAGAACTCTTCAATACTGAAGCTGACATTGGGGGTGCGGTTACTATTAGGTATGCGGTTTATAATAGGATTTTAACGGTACTACTTGTACCACTATTATGTAATCAGGGGCCAATGAAAGTCGGGTTTTAGTATCACTTGTAATCACTATCATGTATTCAGGGTCCAATGAAAGTCTGGTTTTTAGTATCACTTGTAATCATTATCAAGTAATCAGGGTCCAATAAAACAGTCTGGTTTTAGTATCACTTGTAATCACTATTATGTAATCAGGGTCCAATAAAACAGTCTGGTTTTAGTATCACTTGTAATCATTATTATAAAATCGGGGTCCAATGAAACAGTCAGGTTTTAGTATTACATGTAATCATTATGAAATCGGGGTCCAATGAAACAGTCTGGTTTTAGTATTACATGTAATCATTATTATGTAATCAGGGTCCAATGAAACAGTCTGGTTTTAGTATTACATGTAATCATTATTATGAAATCGGGGTCCAATGAAACAGTCAGGTTTTAGTATTACATGTAATCATTATTATGAAATCAGGGTCCAATGAAACAGTCTGGTTTTAGTATCACTTGTAATCACTATTATGTATTCAGGGTCCATTGAAACAGTCTGGTTTTAGTATCACTTGTAATCATTATTATGAAATCAGGGTCCAATGAAAGTCTGGTTTTAGTATTACATGTAATCATTATTATGAAATCGGGGTCCAATGAAACAGTCAGGTTTTAGTATTACATGTAATCATTATTATGAAATCGGGGTCCAATGAAACAGTCAGGTTTTAGTATCACTTGTAATCACTATTATGTATTCAGGGTCCAATGAAACAGTCTGGTTTTAGTATCACTTGTAATCACTATTATGTATTCCGGGTACAATGAAACAGTCTGGTTTTAGTATCACTTGTAATCATTATGTAATCAGGGTCCAATGAAAGTCTGGTTTTAGTATCACTTGTAATCACTATTATGTATTCAGGGTCCAATGAAAGTTTGGTTTTAGTATCACTTGTAATCACTATTATGTATTCAGGGTCCAATGAAACAGTCTGGTTTTTTTTTAGTATCACTTGTAATCATTATTATGAAATCGGGGTCCAATGAAACAGTCAGGTTTTAGTATTACATGTAATCATTATTATGAAATCGGGGTCCAATGAAACAGTCTGGTTTTAGTATTACATGTAATCATTATTATGTAATCAGGGTCCAATGAAACAGTCTGGTTTTAGTATTACATGTAATCATTATTATGAAATCGGGGTCCAATGAAACAGTCAGGTTTTAGTATTACATGTAATCATTATTATGAAATCAGGGTCCAATGAAACAGTCTGGTTTTAGTATCACTTGTAATCACTATTATGTATTCAGGGTCTATTGAAACAGTCTGGTTTTAGTATCACTTGTAATCATTATTATGAAATCAGGGTCCAATGAAAGTCTGGTTTTAGTATTACATGTAATCATTATTATGAAATCGGGGTCCAATGAAACAGGTTTTAGTATTACATGTAATCATTATTATGAAATCGGGGTCCAATGAAACAGTCAGGTTTTAGTATCACTTGTAATCACTATTATGTATTCAGGGTCCAATGAAACAGTCTGGTTTTAGTATCACTTGTAATCACTATTATGTATTCAGGGTCTAATGAAACAGTCTGGTTTTAGTATCACTTGTAATCATTATGTAATCAGGGTCCAATGAAAGTCTGGTTTTAGTATCACTTGTAATCACTATTATGTATTCAGGGTCCAATGAAAGTCTGGTTTTAGTATCACTTGTAATCACTATTATGTATTCAGGGTCCAATGAAACAGTCTGGTTTTAGCATCACTTGTAATCACTATTATGTAATTAGGGTCTAATTTAATTTCTTGTTTCATTACAAGAATAATATGCCTGGTGCTGAAGAAGCTTTCAAGATTCTTGGTCGCGCATTTGAAATGATTGGTGATGCAGTGAGTATATGTTATGTGTGTCTGATCAATGTCAGCAATTTGTCTTGCCTGTAAAGAAATGGAAGAGAAGGGATTTTGTTTAGTTTGTCTGTCTGGCGTTGTAATCGTAGGCTTGATCTAGAAAAGTGTGCAGTATTGTGATTCCATCTGGAAACGTGTGCAGTATTGTGATTCCATCTGGAAACGTGTGCAGTATGGTGATTCCATCTAGAAACGTGTGCAGTATGGTGATTCCATCTAGAAAAGTGTGCAGTATAGTGATTCCATTTAGAAACGTGTGCAGTACAGTGATTCCATCTAGAAAAGTGTACAGTATGGTGATTCCATCTAGAAAAGTGTGCAGTATAGTGATTCCATTTAGAAACGTGTGCAGTACAGTGATTCCATCTAGAAACGTGTGCAGTATGGTAATTCCATCTAGAAACGTGTGCAGTATAGTGATTCCTTCTAGAAACGTGTGCAGTATAGTGATTCCATCTAGAAACATGTGCAGTATAGTGATTCCATCTAGAAACATGTGCAGTATAGTGATTCCATCTAGAAACGTGTGCAGTATGGTAATTCCATCTAGAAACATGTGCAGTATGGTGATTCCATCTAGAAACGTGTGCAGTATGGTGATTCCATCTAGAAACGTGTGCAGTCTGGTGATTCCATCTAGAAACGTGTGCAGTCTGGTGATTCCATCTAGAAACGTGTGCAGTCTGGTGATTCCATCTAGAAACGTGTGCAGTATGGTGATTCCATCTAGAAACGTGTGCAGTATGGTGATTCCATCTAGAAACGTGTGCAGTATGGTGATTCCATCTAGAAACATGTGCAGTATAGTGATTCCATCTAGAAACATGTGCAGTATAGTGATTCCATCTAGAAACGTGTGCAGTATGGTAATTCCATCTAGAAACATGTGCAGTATGGTGATTCCATCTAGAAACGTGTGCAGTATGGTGATTCCATCTAGAAA